AAAATTGACTAACACTTCAATCAACTTTCAATCATTAAAGTAATCATAATATCCAGTGATAAAATTTAGTAAAAATAGATAACAACAACATAAAAAAACAAAAAAATATGGGCATATTAAGTTATTAACTCTCAGAGGATTTTCTAAAGAACACAAAATCTCATCCTTGTATGTGAAGAAATGACGTTGTTAATGAACAAGTTAGAGATTTGTTAAGTTTTTTTTTTATTGTACCTTCAATAATTCAGTAGAGAAAACTTGCTTGAATACTCAATTAACGTTGGTTATTTAATATGTACTAACAAATACTTATAACAATAATATTGTAGAAACATAAACAACAAAATTTAAAGCATGTACTCAAAAATAACAATTAATAATATAAGCATAAATTAATGATTGTACTCTGTAACAATGGAATGAAATAGAATGGAAAAAATCGAGCCCACTGAATGCACAGTGTTCCCTTAAGGAAATTATTCCCCCTTAGTACCCGAGATTTAAAGGAATAGATCCTCTCAGGAAAGAACGATTCTATTCGCCAGTGTATTGATACAAAAAATGGTGTTAGTGAGTCATTCAACAGGAGCAAAGTACACAATTATTCAGTTGAAGAAGAAGTTCAAAATTTTTGTTGTTTTAAAATGAGAGGAAATTCCTCTATTTATAGACAACAAAAGGTAGTGTAAACAAATGCTTATTGTGTCTTATTAGAAAGGTCACAACTTTTCATAAAAGTCGCCACTTTTCATAAAAGTCGCAACTCTTCATAAAAGTAGCAACTCTTCATAAAAGGGGAAGGCTAGTTTTGGAAATAAAATAAATTAAAAGGGAATCCTGGTTTGTGGTAGCGCCACGTAGGTGGGTCTAGAGTTCTCTTTTATATATATATATATATATATATATATATATGTATAAATTTGTATGTTTTTTCCATTTGTGCCTTTCCTCAATAAAATCCACTTTGCTTTTGTGCTTAAAGCTGCAAGTATTTTATAAACAATGTCATAGTATTTTTAAACAAAAGAGCTAAAATACACCTAAGAGAGCTGTTGTTATATTAATATGATATATTAGTGAAGTATGTTATTACAGTACTTATTTTGTAGAATTATAATAGACAATAGAGCAAAAATACACCCCCAGAGAGCTGTTATTAGTATTAATAGGAACATGTAAAATGAAATCTAGATACTCTTGAGTATTTTTGTTTTAATAAACAAATGCCTTGGATTTGAACTATAATTTATTATGTCATGATAGACCATGCTAAGATCAAGGAGCTAACAAAATAAAAAGGACTATTAGGTGAATTTAGAGGGGATATATTATATAAACCAATAAAATATACATACAAGATATCTTGTCTTAAAATATTAGGTGATTTCTTTCTATTTGTTGTAGCCTTGGTTTATAGAGTTACTTGATACATGTTGTTAGTGGGAGATGACGCATATCTTGTGAAATTAGTCGAAGTAGCATAAGCTGTCTGGATACCACAATTATAAATAAAAATATCTTGCCTTAAATGAGAAGTTGAGAGGGATCAATAACAAGAACTTTGGCATTCAAATACTTTCTCAATGCTTGTGGCATGACCTTTTTAAAAAAAATAAAATTGGGTTAGGAGTAGGAGATTACAAAGTGAGAATCCTCACCAACATTGCATGACCTCATTGAGTCAAGAAGTTGAGAACATAAACTATCAATTTGGAACAACTACACAATGGAGTAATAGTTGAATTTTGGTTTCTAATTTTTGGTCACATGCATAACATCTACAAACAATTTGTATGTCCTTTCTGCTAAGGTTGTCCTGGCTCAAACAAGTTTCATAGAGTGTTGTCCCGCTGAAAGCATTTGTCCTTTATTGGTATCTTTGTTTTCGAGAGCTTCCAAGAACAATGATTTCATTGTGAGCACACATTCATATGTGTAGCTTGCTTTTATAGATATTACTTTGTTTGTATTGCTTCACTTTAGTTTTTCAACTACATGTTCATTTACTATATGATTATCTAATCTAGCAAGTAGGCTAACTAGGTTGTCGTCATTCACCCAATTATGAACATATCCTCTAAACAACATGTTCTAGTTGTTGCTCTTTGTTTAGTGAGAGGATGGATTGAGTCTCAAGTATTTTAGAGAGGGTTAAAGTAATCATCCATTAGAGTTGAATTCCCTTTCCATTTATCCTTCTAGAATATGCTATGAAGTCCATTGCCTACTTAATTGTTTAGTGAGAAGATAATTTATTGTTTTTTGAACCTTTACAAATTGCATAACTAAATAAATAAGTTAATATTCTTCATTTTTGATTGAACATTTTAAATTAAGCTTGTAATGTTTGAAGATATTGAATATGTAAGTTTACTTGTACTTTTGTCATTAAAAGGCCCTTTTGAGGCATGCTTAAGTCTTGGAGATCAATGCAATATAAACTTGGTGTTTTGTTTGCTGGCTGACAAGCAATATGGTGCCTAACATTGTCTCTTTTCACCTATGGGTTCTTTCTAACATAAAATATAGTTAGCATATTGATATTCTTGGTCCCCATGGGCTGTTTTGTAATATTCTTGTTGTTGTTTTTGTTGTTATTTCATACTTATATTATATTTCATTATTTTGCCAATGAACAGGATAAGATGAATGTAAATGGTGCACCTATGAGCTTAAATTGGTAAGTTTGCACTATAGATTTTCTCCTCTCAATTAGCTTCATCTAGTTTATGTTGGTGCCATTTGATCTTTATGCTATATATTTTGTACTTTGTGCAGCCAAGATGATTCCAACCAATTAATTCAAGCCAAGTGCCATTTTGTACAAGCATTGATTGACAATGCCATTTATAAACTTGGGGATGATGCGTATGTAAAGGTGAATTCTACGGTGCTCAAGTATAGTTAGTCTTTCAGTTCTGAATTGACATCCCTTTAAAATATATTCCCTTTGTTTCATTTTGTTTATCTTACTTTCCTTTTTAGTCTGTTTGAAAAATTCTCTTTCCTTTTTTGACAACTTCTTAATTCTAGTTTTCCCTATGGCATGTTTAAGACCACATGATTAAAGTGTATTTTGATACATTTTACATATCTTTAGTATAGGACTACAAAATTTTAAAGTCTTTTTTAAACTTCGTCTCAAGTCAAAACTAGACAAAGGAAGAAATAATGTGTACTAGGTCCATCTTGTTCTTTCTCTTGGATTTTCTAGAATGTAATTAATTTTTCTTTACCATTTTGATAAATCTAATTTCTTGCAAAACAACTTTTCCTTCCGCAAGTAGTCCTTGAAAATAAAGAAGAATTATTTGATTATCTCTTAAACTCTTGGGATAGATTATGTATACATATAATACCTTAAAGTACCCTTCGGGGTGGCCCAGTGGTTTGAGCTTGGGACTTCCATGTTGGAGGTCTCAAGTTCGAAACCCCTTGCCAGCGAAAGCAAGGGGTTTGCCTTCTGGGTCGAGCTCGTCGCACCAGGTTTGCCTAGTGCGGTTTACCTCTCCTATGTGGTTTGCCAGCTATTGCATAGGAGCGGGGGTTTTACCCTGTGCGCACCCAAAGGGTAGCGGCTGCGGGTTTCCCTTGTCATCAAAAAAA